TGCTGCTGCTGCTACTACTACTGCTTTCACAACCACCACTAGCACAGCTCCCCCCACGACCAATACCACAACTACTCATGCCTGTTTTTCTGCCCCCCGCCTTTTTATACGGTCTTTACGACTGCCACCACTACCACTTTGTGTCTCTTCTTGATGGTTCGTCAAGCACGAGGTTGCTCTTCGTTTGTGTTGGCTGATTCTGGTAGACGATGTGCGGCGTCAAAGGTATCCTTGTGTTATGTCCCACTGGGTGGATTCAGAGAGCGTGCCAAGCACCAATAATAGATTGTCACATAAGATTGGTGAGCAATGCCCAAGGCACCTGCATCAGCGCTCAGGAGGCAAGCTCTGCCGATTTGGTGACAGGATAGGTACGTTGGCTATTTTCGACAAAGTGTAGGAAAACATTAGAGTGTTTTGGGGTTCTGAAGTTGTTGGGAATCGGCCATGGCACTACATAACTGGGTTCCGGAGCCTGATAGGTCTGCGGTTGGGCTTTCAGTCGGACGTCCCAGGCACCGTTCAACTGTGTAGTGCATGTGGAACCCGGCAGCAGGGGACGGACCAACCAAGGTGCAGCGCAACATCCTCTGAATTGTGCTTTGTTGCGGCATCCTGCTTTCGGAGCTGATGGAAGCTACAGGGAAACGATAGCCAAAGGCGTTGCTCATTCCGTATGTCGGAAAAAGGTGGACTGCAGTCTCGTGACAGTGACAAAAATCTTGCCCATATAGATGCAGATGGACGCGATGTATGCGCTCATGCGGATGGAGATGCGACGGTTGTGCATGTGTCCATCATCATGCAAAGATGTGGATTGCACCCGCGCATGCTAGCTGACACGTCAGTAAGACCTCAAGCCGGAACATGTGGGTCAGATATGCCAACTCTCGTAAGTCGAATCTCCTATCATACATCCGTCGCAGGAACAACCGGACTGAACGCATTGTTGCAAGCCACAAGGTACGGCAGGATTCAGTCAGCGCAAACGGCCTGAAGCTTAAAGCCCGCCTTCTCCTCGCCCGAGGGTGCTCAGTGCAGACGCGTTGACATATCATTGTGCGCCACACGGCCACCGGCGTTGCACCACATGCCCAACAGTGCCCGGAACCAGCCAGAGACAATCGCAATGAAAACCATCATCACCATCACCACCACCGCCACGTGTTTAACATGCGTGCCTGTTTATATGCCTGGTCGTACAAGCTGCTCCAAATAAAGAGCTGCTCCTTTCTCCCTATGACACACTCCAGAACTCTCCATCCGAGACTTTTTGAGAGCTCGGCCTGCCCCCGGTCCGTCGCAAGACAAGCTTCTCTTGGGGCTCAGGGTCGTCTCAGGGTTCAGGGTTTAGGGAGAAGGGTCAGGGTCTGTGATAGTTTGGGTTTTTTGGGTTTAGGTCCAGGTTCAGAGTTTAAAACGGTTCCTTTTTGTGTTCCCACCCGTTTCGCTGACCAGGTCGCGCTGCAGAGAAACGGCAGCGAAGTCTTTAAGCTTAAGAGAAAGACACAGCAGAAGACACAAGACCTGGTATAGACACCTCATACGAACGGCATCTTGGCCACTTGGGAGTGAGACCCTGCAGGCATCCGGACGGTGGCAGGCCCCGGCTCTTGGAGCTTATGCAAAGCAGCCAGACATTTGCAAGGGTGGCTTGAGACATTGATCACCAGCATTCTCTGGCTTCGTTTTGGCCATTGACGATGTGAGATGTGAGGTTGATGCTGTAGGGTTGTGCGCTAAGTGCTACCCGCTGCTACCCCACGTTGTGTTTCCAAAGGAGCGAAACCCCAAGCTCTCGGACCTAGGATGTCGGATTTTGCAGGTGGCCCTGGAGCTTCTTGCAGGCATGTGCCGAGAGGCAGGGTTCTCAGGAACTTCATCCATGGGATGGAGCTTGATGTTCAGCATACGTCGCAAAGTACAGACCGCCCATGGTTTTGTTGCAGCAGCTGTATTTCACATTGACAATACCACGATTCAAGCTGAACAAGCTTTAGTTTTGACATGCGAACCTCAAGCCCTCGCAGATATAGCCCTCCATGCCGGCCCCATTTGACATGCGCGGCCGGGCAGGTAGGCGGAAGTACCATCGGCAACTGGGCAGACAGTCCAGAAGTGTTGGACATCTGCTGTGCTGTTTCCTCCTGATCCGCAAAGTCGCATGTGGTGTTAGCAGCTAGCAGCGTGAAGTCTGCACCGGAAGCCGTCAACACCTCAAGACATCTGAGAGCCCCGAAAATCAAGGCGCCTCCTCGGCGAAACCCTTTTATGTCGAAAACTTTGTCCGAAATCTTCCATACTTCCTGCTTGCTTATGCAAGCGAGGCTACAACGCCTGCATCAGCGTTTGTGCTGCTCGGCATCGGAAATTCTGCAGGGGGGGGTTCCATCCAATAGCCTGCGAGAGTCACTACTGGGTCTCTGAGTCCGGTTGAAATCCCCGAGGGTTTGGGGAAGGAGCGAACGCCTTTCCATGACTTTCGCGTAATTCCTGGGTCTGTTATGCAGACACCATGTAAACGCCCAAAAGTCCCAAAAGTCTCAAAGAAAAAAGGCACGGGGCCAAGCGTGGTCCATGGCCTTTCGGCTCCTGGAGGCGGGGCTCAGGTGGCTTTTTCTCTCTCTCGAGCAGAGCGGGGGGCCGTTTAGGCTTCGAGCAGCTTCTAGCAGTCATGGTCTATTTTGGTGAGCATGCAGCTCCGTTTTGGGAGGGGGGGAGGGGGCTTGTGGTGATACTGATAACACAAAACCGGAGGGTACACGAGGCTATATGAGGCCTTGTGGCCACTGCGGGTCTCTTTCCACGTCTTTCCAAGGGAGGCCTGATCGAGGGCAATCGATGAAGCTCTGCTTTCGAAGCTTGAACGCAGGACATGCCAGAAAAGCGCGTGCAGCCTGACACTGCGACTTGCTTCTATTGGGAAAGACAGAGCAAGAAGACTTCGTGAGAGACAAGCTCCTGCACTGCGGAAGAAGCCCAAAGCAAGAGTCCCAAGACAGGTTTCTGGAGGCCGCCGCAAGTCTGCTGTAGGTCAGCTTCAACGCCACCATCAGCGCTGCCAGCGAGGATGGGCTCCGAAGTCCGAGCTGAGTCTCCGTGCGTCGGCTTTTGGTGCTCTCCTCTGCCTGGAAGGGCGCACAATGGCAGCCGGCGCTGGGCCTCTTCGACCAGATGATGCAGGAGACGGGGACTGCAAGGGGCTGGAGCCAGGCCACACAACGAACTCGTCTGAGAAGAGAACAGCCTTCAGGTGTATGCGTTTAAGACTGTGCCAGCCAGCTGTTGGGTGCGCTTTGGCTTGCCGCTCAGAATGTGATCTGCAGCACTGGGGCCCCCATCCCAATAAGTTGTCGGTGCAGCTCTTCAGGAGCGAGTTCCTCACGACCTCGTCCCTGGGACAGCAGTTTTTTAGCTGCTGAACCGAAGACGACGATTGAAACGCGGAGACTGTACCCCTGGACTAGACTGTGAAGGAGAGCCGTGTCTGACAGCAGTAGTCGAGGAAGGCAGTTTCAAGACAGCCCTTTCCGGGCAGGCTCCGGAACAGCTAGGATCCAGGTTGGCCTGGCAGGCAAGACGAAGCTACAGATACTATCATTAGGATCATCGGCCACCGTTTCTCTCTGTCTCTCTCTCTCTCTCCCGGGGCATCCTTTCAAGGTGAGCTTCAATGCGACCATGGATGCCTGCGCAATGTCTGGCGAGTGGAGGCTCAAAGCCATCGAAGCCTGCATCCACGGTTTGCCTTCGTTCCGAGAAGTGGTCGAAGGCCGGCGTTGTCACTGCTCTGGGCGGCCGGCGCCCAGGCCCTCGCTGCTCCGAGCTTGCGAATGGCCCTGGAAGTCTGCACATGGGTCCTTCTTCCCTCCTCTCCGAAACCGCTTTTCTGCATCCATCGCCTTCACTGCCAGGCAAACCTCGTCTCTTTCAACACGGCCACTTGGATGACAAAGCTTCCAGCATTTGGTGCCTGCTTTCGGAGTACAGGCTTAAAGACAGGCTCATAGTTGTGCTCTGGAGCGCACGCCTTCTCTGTGCTCTGCCAGGCTTTGACTGCTTGCCACCGCGGATCTGCCTGGGCAGCAGCGCTGGCACTCTTCGCCCTGCTGTGCCTGGGCGGCTTTGGGGGGACCTTAGACGGAGCGCCTACCCCCTGGTTTGGAGGCTACTGGTAGAGTCAGCTTGCTGTGGTCCGTTTTGGTTGCTGCCACGTCTAAGGCAGCGGCGGAACTTGCGGCCAGACACACTGAGCTACAACGTGCCGCGTGACTGCGAAAGGACAGGACTACCGTGCAGAAGCCTGTCAGTCCCGTTTGTGAGGCAGGCATTGTTCATGATCGAAGCCACTTTTGAATTGAGCCCGCAGGTTTTTGGATGGGCTCGGTTTGGGGTGAAGATTGGCGACCCCTGCGCTGGTTCCAAAGCTCACAGGCTCAACCACTGCCTCACTGGGTATGGTCTCCACTTAGTCCCGGATCTAGCAAGTGTGTTTAGGTGCCGTCGTGTTGACGGAACCACTCCGCGAAGTAGGGCCATGCCTGCATTCTACAACTGCAGCGGCCACAAAATCCTTGTCATTGTTCGTTCACTACTTGGTGGGCCCACTGTGAAAAGACTGCCTGGTCACGCGTTGTCGACAGCGCCGTGATTTGCTGTGTGTATTAGTGGAGAGGCACATGCACATCGAGCAGTGCATGTCTTTGCGGTGTGTCCGGCGAAACTCCGCGTGACCAAGCCAAGGATGATGAGCGTCGGCCACAAGTCCGCGAGATGGCCGTTGGCTTTACAGATGCTGCGCAGCCGCGTGGACAGCAGGGGCTTGAACGCTCGAAATCTTCGTCAGAAGAAGTTCTGCATTCGAAAGCTCCCAAAGCCCGCAAAACGAACTGGATCGGGGCTGAGGCCTTCGCCACCATCGCCTAGCGCCCAGCGACCGCAGCGCGGGCGCAGTGGTGAGCGCGTGCGAGAGGGCCCTTTGCTATCGAGTTGTGTAATTCCATAGTCTTTTGCCACCATGGAGCTGGATGATGGCACATGCGGCGAATCCGTGCATTCGAGCTTTCCAGTTGCCCAACTGTGGTGCCCCAGCGTTTCGGGATCAGGCAGAGCAATGGGAGTTGGCCTTGGAGCTCTTCCAGGACAGCGCCGCTTGGGATGGGTTTGGGGCCAGGTCCACCGGCTTGGTGTCGACGCCACAAAAAACGTTCCCCTCCGGGTTCTCATTTGTCCTGGGAGAAGAGCTCTTGGGTGCCGAAGCCAAGCCAGAAGCTTCGGAGCTTGCTCAAGAAGAGAAGGCCTGCAAGGCCTCGTCTCACTGCTCCCTGGGTCCCCACGCAGGACCTGGGTCGGGCTTCGGTTCAGAGGTCGCAGGTGGTCTTCAACGCGGCCCTGAGCGCTTGTGGGGGCCCTTGTAGCCTCAACAGCTTCAACTTGGAATCTGCGAAACTTACGCAGCTGCTGACTTCAAAGCATTTTTGGGCCTCTGAGGTGCGAAGGGTGCGCAGTGGGAGAACGCCATGTCGCCTGGCTGAAGCTTCGAAAATCAGGCGGGGGCACCCTGGCGAACCTTTGCAAGGTAGTTGAGTGGAAGAGCCGGCTTGTGTAATTATGAAGTTTGAACCCTGACGCACGGTGCACGCACCGGTTCAACAAGAGCCCGGCAGCCTACTTAAGGAGGCATCTCCTTAGCAAGTCGGAATCTGAGTGACTGCCCCGAAGATGCAGCATCTTGTCAGACCTTAGACCTTGCCTAGGAAGCATCGTCTCAAGTCGCAGCTTTGAAGCCCTTACTCGTTGGAACGAGCCTACGAAGAAGTCTGCGGGTTAATGCAAGGCCAGGCACGTACTGTACATCCTCGTCAAGTCTTGTTTGCTTGCTGTTGGAGCTGCAATGGACCAAATCAAAACTCCAGGGATGCCGGGGACCTGCGTAGATTCGACATGTTTGCAGTGTAATCTCCGAGTGACGAGCCGAGGCGCCTCTACCGCAGCTTGCAGCGCTCCCTAAAACCCGACGAGGCCAAGCCGGCGGCAGAGCCTCACCTCCCGGCTCCCTTGGAACTGACTGTGCCCAGGTGTCGCGGAACTCACTGCTGTGTGCCCTGGCTGCTGCCGCACGCTGGGAGGAGAACTCGTGAAATCCACGCGGCAGAAGCAGCTAAGACCCCGACAGGGCTCAAATGCTGAAGATTGCAGGGCCCGCGAAGAGGTGGGGTTACATGAAGCTCAAAGGGGCGACGGCAGCCACCCTTAAATAGCTGCGAGCCACCAGCCGTGCGCACCTGGTGACTACAGTTGAAAGCAGGTTCGGCTGGACCCTGGCAGAGCTTCGAGACTTTCAATCTCAGGTATGGTACCTAGGACCTAGGCATCGCCAGTCACAGGCGTCCGCGCATGCGTGGCTCAAGCGCATGCGTGATCCGCAGCTGCCATGGCCATGGCCGAGTGTCACCATTCTAGCTGGAGCTGGGCAGCCTCGGGCTTCTTCGAGCGTGAGGCGATTGCACATGAGTGTGTGATCACATCTGGGTGCACCGGAAGGTACAGGCATCAATATGTATGATCTAAAGGTCCTCGTCGCTGTGTTTATGCAAAAAACGACCACGGGCAAAACGTAGCATCCCATCGCGGAATGCGTCCGCTAAAGAAAACTATGTTTCGGTGTGGCTAGTGTGTGTGTGTGTGTGTGTGTAGTGCGAGAGATCCGATAACGTTCTGCGCGAGTCGAGGCTGTCATATCAAGGCAACGCGCCATTGCCATTTCTACGGCTGCTATTGCCCCATACTGCGACGTTGTGTTCACAGTTGTTTCAAGGCGTTGAGGACTAAGATTTTCAGGTTTCCGGCTTGGCGAGTGCTGGAGTGAAGCTGTCAGGTGTGCTGGTTTGCCTAAACCCAAAGCCCAAAGCCTACGCCGTATTCCTTAATTCCCGAACCCGTAACCGGCCTCAACCTCATTCTACACGCCGAGCTTGTAAAGAGCCCTCATAGAACTCTTATATATTCATCAAAGTATTCGAATATGTGTCCGCGAAGGGCGCGCGAAAGTCAGGGCGAAAGTTCCGGTAAACAAAATGATATTTTCGTGAAGGTCATTCGGTGATCTGTTAATTTAGATCAGCATCCGTGTGTGTGTATGTACACAGACACAGACACACACTAGCCTTGATATATGGTTATGCAGTTACATGCAGCGCATTTTGTAGTCGTTGCAGAATTTGGTGGAGGAGTCCACTGAGGCCGTCTCGTCGCATGCGCATGAACAGCTTGTGAAAAGCCGCCAGTGAATCTGTTGCAAGAACTCAAGTCGTGGGTCCAGTGAATCACGAAGCGTGAAGGTGTTTCCGGCACTGGTACGGGTCAACTTGAACAGGGCACATTCAAAAACAAAGGACGGGGAAAGGACCTGCGCCCAAAGACTCCCGCCTGGAGACTAGTGCTGCTCGGCACGTTGTGGTCCGCGATAATGTAAAGTGTCAGATTGGACGGGGCCCTTCGTGACCTCAGCGGCTGAGCTTGAGCATCTGGTCACGGCGAAGACTGACCTCCACGGCCGTCGTCGCGACGCACGCCGGCTTTGCTGAGGAGACAAAGTGTACTTCTGGTGTCAGCCCGGAAGGGCGCTCCATTCCTTTGCATTTTGGATGTGGTCCGCGATTTGTTCGGCGGGTCAGTTTGACACGCGGTCAAGACTGTCCGAAACCTAAGGTGTTTGGCACGTCCATTGAGGCTCCGGGCACTGTGAAGAAGAACTCCGTGGTTTTGACGGTCATGACACGACGTGGTCGAATCCTAGCGTTGTCAGTTGCCCCAGCACCATTTTTAAGGGCTTGGCTCATGCGCATCGATGGCAAGATCTCCCAGGCTCTTCGGGATTCCCGGGACGGGAGCTCACTGGCAAGGATGATCGACAAGCATAGTGGTTCGATCGAAGCTGGCTGCAGGTGGTTTCTTGAGCCGCCAAGCCCCTAAAACTGCCAAACGCCCTGACTGTGTCCCGTCTGGTGCTCGGATGAGGGCAAATTGGTGTCCGGGCCAGGGGCTCCAAGATGAGCAGTCAACTAAGCGTCGTCGTATGGAAATGCTGGGAGGCATCCGCTGAGAGGGGTGGATCTTTGAGCAGTCCAAGCGGAGGAGAACGGTGGGGTGGACGTTCGGGGCCATGCGAGCTGACCACTTTTCGAGCGCACGCCGGAGAAGCGAGGTTCTTTGCGTGTCTGGTTTTTGACCTGCTCAGGAGGCCTCTGCAGTCGTCCCCAGTGAGTCTGCGGCTAGTTGATGGCGGAAATCTTCACAAACAAGCAGGTTGTGTCGGAGAAGGCCCCCCAGCCAAGAAGCGCAAGACTCTCAAGACCGCGGTGCCAGCAGGCATAGAGGTGATCTCCAACACCGGACAAGAGAATTGTTTGTTTCTTGCTCTTTCCGGTGCGTTTGGCTTGATTGGTCATTCTAGAGGTCAGGCTGTTTTGAGAGCCTCTGCTGTTGCACGCTTACGCAAGTATCGTGATGCTTATGAGGGGGCTTGTGACAAACGCTTCCGGATGAGCGCGAGACGGATATGAAAAGCGCTACTTTGACGCGGTGGCGCTGGAGGGGTCCTGCGGAAGTGCCTATAGGAAACCACCGCAGCGGCTAAGACGCTGGATTTTCCATGATCCGGGTCGTCACCAAGGATGGCACCTATGTTTTCAATCTTACCGGCAAGCGTGGCCAGATCTCTTGCACTATCACTCACGGCATTACGAAGCTTTGGAGACACGTGAAGTTGGATTGGGGCAACATATGGCCGAGCGTCCTCGAGGTTGGAACGGCTCGTTCTGTTCGACGGCGTCTTCAAGGCGATAACGCAACGTCAGTCGGCACGCGGGCATCTGTTCGTGCTCGACTCACCCTGCCCAACTCAGGTTATCCCTCGGCCTCGACTGCAGGAAATTCTCAATGAAACTCGGAGACTGTAGGCGACGTCCAACACTTGCCACCGTGGATGGAAGGCTCCAGAGCATTATATGGGCACGAGGACAAAAGCTCCCCGGCAGCATTGCTTTCAATGTGTCCATTGCTTTGAGCCTTCCACTCCGAGGCCGACGAGCACGTTTCCGAACCAAAGACCCGAAAAGCCCAGGTTGGCGCCCAGCTCTTGCGCAGGAAGCTCGCCTTGGCGCGGGCCGCCCCAGCTTCTTGGACTCACGACCTACACTACCATGCCATCCTCTTGACCGGGACGTCAGATAGTTCCGGCGACGGGCGCCCGAAAAGGCATTGCTCGTGCCGGTCCGTAATGCATTTGCAAACATGGTGGAAAGATCAACATGCCGCCGCTGATCCTGAGGTCAATTTGTCCGCCATCTCAGGCTGGAGAAGGGCGGCAAGAGGTTTCTCGAAATTCATGGAAGTTGCTCCAACATTTTTCATGATTTCCCATCCGGCTCAAGAGGTTTCTCGAACTTCATGGAAATTGTTGGTTTTACCAAAATTTCCATGATTGCCCACAGACAAGCCGTGGACAATGTTGGATTTACCAACGTTTCCAAGAATTTCAATGGTTTTTCGAACTATGGCTCTGGCTCAAGAGGTTTCTCGAAATTCATGGACATTGTTGGAATTGTTGGTTCTACCAACAGTTTTCGTGAGCCAAGCATGGAAAATGTGGGTTTTACAAACAATTCCAATGATTTGCCAAACTATGGCTCTGGCTCACGAGGCTTCTCGAAATTCATGGAAAGTGTTGGAACTGTTGGTTTTACCAACAATTTCCGTGAGCCAATCATGCATGGAATGTGTTGGGTTTACCAACAATTTCCATGAGAGCAAGTGTTTTTGCTTTTGGGTGAGCATAGGTTTCTCCAAATTCATGGAAGTTGTTGGAAATGTTGGTAAAACCAACATTTTCCATGGTTCGCCCGTGGGGAATCATAGAAAATTTTTGTTTTACCAACTTTTCCAACACATTCTATGATTCCGGAAACTATGGCCCCGGCTCCCGAGGTATGTCCAAATTCATGGAAATTGTTGGAAATGTTGGTAGAACCAACATTTTCCATGGTTTGCCTGTGGGGAATCATGGAAAATGCTTGTTTTACAAATTCTTCCAACACATTCTATGATTCCGGAAACTATGGCTCCCGAGGTTTATCCAAATTCATCGAAATTGTTGGAAATGCTGGAAAACCAACATTGTCGACGATTTGTCTGTGGGGAATCATGGAGCATGTTGGTACTACCAACATTTCCAACAATTGCCATGATTACCGAAAGTATAGCTCCCGGCTCCCGAGGAATCTCCAAATTCATGCAAATGGTTAAATTTGTCGGATTCGCCAACATTGTCCACAGGTGAGTATTTCAAAACGGTGTTACCGAAATTTGCGATTGAGCACATCTTATGTACTCGTGCGATGTGTGTTTGCAAGATGGGCCGGTAAGGCATTCGCATCCATGATTAGATTCAGTAATTTGTCCGACGCCAAACTAAGAAATAATCCTTGCTTGAAGACGTTACGGTGCGAACACCAGTTCATTGGTTTTTCCCGATCACGAACAGAGCTATACTTCATGTCTAGGGTTCAAAACTTTACGGTAGGTGCAAAAATTCGAAAACGACTTGAAAAATCCACGAATCCAAGCCCGACCAATAAATGCACAGGATTTGTATTATGCACACAATTAGGATGAACCAGACTCAGGCTAAACATGTCGAAATGAACTGGACCTGAAAAAAGAACGGCTAGCAATTTCGATTAATAAACAACGGAACATAGAACCTACGGTGTAATGCGGCATGTTGCATGATGTTTGACTAGGAGCACTAATCGTAACAGTCCGTTCTCAAGAGGTTAGAAACAAGCAAATGTGTTACTGGATTAACCATCATCCTACCAAGAAGTCTCATAAGCACAGGTGTGACTATTCAACAATACCGATGTATAAAGATGGGGCTCAGCAAGTAGCACATGTACTTTGTATATAATGCTTGGCGATTATGAAGCACGGTTTCTGAACTGTATACGAAGTACTCTGAGTGAATAACCACAAACAATGAATCTTGATTCAGAAATGATAACAAGCCGGGATGCACATAATGTTCATCCGGTTAGTATTGGTACAGGAACTGCGGTCATGGTTAAAA